AAGCCAAAGGCGTTGCCAGCTTGGCCATCCCAGGGCTCTCAGGTGATCTGAGTTCCATCCATCAGCTCTTGAGGATGAGCTTCTGATGCTGCTCTTCTGCAGCTTTTGAGTGGAAATCTCATGGTAATGGGCTGAGAAGAGCTTGGCTCACGTGGAACTCGCTGGACTTTGGATGGTTTGTTTATTGTAAGTACTCAGACTTGTTAGGGAAGTTGAGTTTCAGTTATTATTCATTTTTCTCTCTCGCCCATTGAGGAAAATTTGGGTAGTTTTGAGATTTTTACTTACTATTCTTGTCAAACTGAAGTAAAATAAGCAGTAACAGAATAGAATTATAGCAGAATCTTCTGAAGTTTTCTGTAATGCAGACAAAAACGGTGATTTTTGTCTTACTGCACTAGCCACACTTTCCTGATGGTACTTTTCTCCCGATTCTGGATTTGAATGGAAACAAAAAGTAGTGTCATAATCTCTGTGCAGTCCTATTATTAAATTGTCAGATCACAGCCATATTTCTGGCCGCAGTGATTCAACTCCATTTCCACCTCCACACAGCTCAGCAGTGACCTTGACATTCTTGGTCGATGCTCACGTAGAGACTGCTTGGCAGGCACCGGTGCCAAGCTGTGGAATATAATTTCCTGACAATGTATGGTATCTGGGTGTGTAATTGGCTTCTGGGCTGTCCCTGCGCAGCTATATGGTCCTTTCCTGCTCCTCTCAGCAAGTAGTTTTTAATGACCACCAAACCATGAACCATCTGTCTGTACAGAACTCTGGAACCACACAACTGTTGCTGGTTTTGTGCACTTATATGCTCCTCTCAGAAATATTTTACATGAAATCCACTATCTAATTTTTTTTTTTTTTAAATTGACTGTCAGGCAAAGAGGAGTTTATTAATTAGTGGCAAATGTGGAATCATTAACATACGAGAGAACCCTAAAAGGCAAAATTGCATAATCCATGTCTGAAAGTAAAATCTTAAGCCACAACCAGGGGTTTTGAGCTAAATCACGTCTCTGGGGATGAAATGATGCAGGGAAGTAATGGACTTTAAAGATCCCCTCCCCTGCTCTTTGCTCTTGCTGCTTTGGCCATTACTGCCTGGGCAGCTGCCCATTTGGCCATTAATCCCTTTCCTGTGTAGGTGTGTAGGAAATCATTATATGTCGGTAGAGCTCTGGCTCTGTGTGCTAAGTATGTCATCCAGCACAGCTGGGACAGCATGGAGAGGAAAATGGGTTACACCAGAAAATGTCCTGGAGCAAGTGGAGTGGCTCATCAGAGAGCAAGGACCACTGGGCAGCACAGCTACAGCCCCGGCCTCGGAATGCACTAAAACCCTCAATTTTGTCATCACGGATCGCATCTCCAAGAGAAGCAGGTAAGTGGTTATTATTTCTGAAAAGGAAAGGAATAAGAGGCTAAAAATAGCCTTAAACAAAGTCCTGCTGCTGCTGTGGGCTGCATATCAGCTGGGATCGCTGCTGGGACAAGGGGGATTTTTGTCTGAAGTCTATTTCCACCCAAAGGATGACTTCCTCTGCTCCCCGAAGGGAAGAACATTTAGAATCGTGGTTATAGTTTTGGACTTGAGGTAATGAAAGAGCCTTCGTGTGCTAAAAGATCTGTTCTGCATTGTAGCTATGTTACCAACTTCTGCACTGGCTTTTTCATGAAAAATCAAGGCTCAGTACTCATTGTCACTGGAATATATGAAACAACAAAATGAAACCAACCAGGCAGCTTACTGATGAGAGCTGGGTCATATTCTGCCTTGTTCTTGCAGCTACCTCATTTTCAATTTTTAAAATATGCACTGATTTCTCTGAATAACTGCACATCATTAAATAAAAAAGAAAGTTGCAGTTTCAGAAGCACTAATGAAAAACATCCCTATCTGCTGTCGGCTGCCAGTGACAGACTTAAAAGGGTGAAATATTGATGAGTACTGGAGAACGTATACATTAATTTGGCACAAAATTAAAGCTAGCACATTTAAACATCTGCTTCTTTGTTAATTCCGTGCATGTTGGACGGTTACTGATTTGTTTCCTTAATCAAGGACCTGCAGTACGCAGCTACGTGCTCCAAGTCTGTGTTCTGGATTTGCTCATTGCATTTGTTGTTAGCAGCAACAGATGGAGGTGCATTCCAGCCATGAGGACTGAAATTGGTACCCAATGCCAGCACGGAATTTGTATTGTTTGGTGATTTTCTTGTTCCAGTGGAATTAATTCCTAATTTTTCATGGTCATTTCATATGTTAAGTCCTGCATTATTACCTACTGCCTTTCTAGGGTGATCTGTAAGGGAAAATAAACTCATGCTCCAAGCGCTGTGGTTTGGTTTCGTGGGCAGTCCATGAACTAACGTTGAACCAGGATGCTGTGTACGTGTATTTTTTGCAGCAGAAGCAGTGGAGAATTTCAGTGTCTCAGGGATGCTCTGGACATGTCCTGGACTCCGATTCCTCTGCAGGAATGGGATCTCTGGGGTGGAGTACTCTGCTACCTAGAACAGGAGCTCTCTTCTGTACGCCTTGCACTGAAAATATCTGCCTCTTTCATGTCAGGGAGATGCACTGCAATGAGACGAGGCAGACAGGTGCATTTTTAAATAAGGTTTTAATTGTAGGTCCCAGAAAAATCACTGTAAAAAGGTGCAGCCATATCCGTGTGGCTGCGCTCAGCGGTCCACATCTGAGCTGAAGTCACTGTAATGTTCTTTTTCTTCAGAGCCACCAGTTACACGAATTGAAGCTTCACCTGAGCAGGGAATAGGATTCCTCATGTTCAGCTCAAACCATTCAACAGGAATCATTTTCCATTTTCTGTTTTGATGGGAGAGGAACCCAGAGCAAAATCAGAAAAGCCCTAAATACAGCCGCCTCCTTTCAGTGCTGCGTCTTTCAGAAATACCAGAAGTAATTTTGTTTCTGCCAACACTCTTTTGTTTAAAATCAGCTCGTGTTTAGAATACAATAAGGAGAAAGAAGAATCAGACAATAATTTGCTTATGCTTCCAATGGTTGTTCCTTACTTTATTACTTGCCAAAGTGCCACAACTGACAAATTATCCAATAACGCAAAACCGAAGGCAGCAATGCAGTCGCCGTAAAGCAGGATTAGTTTATAAAGTATCCTCGTGGTGTTTCACGAGATGAATCACTAACATTCAGCAAACCTGTTGCAGATTCTTTCCCTCCTTTTCTCCTTCTTCTTTGTCTTGCCAGCACTAAACTGAGCATCAAGTTGGGCATTTATTCGCTTGTCAGAAGAGAGGAAATTCTTCACATAGAAAAATTCTGTTCTACAAGAGCCTTTTCAGTGTGTGAGAAGAAACACGTTGGCTTTCAGCTTAGTGGGCACTCCTGAGGGCTTTGAGTAGCCATATTCTTGGTGTGGGGGAAAGGAAAGGAGATTGCATGTGTTACAGTAAGTGATTTTTCCCAAAGAATAGCACTCAAATTCACTTAGTGAATTACTAAGTACTCCACATTGAATTATAACTAATGTTTGGTTGAATATTAAACTTTGAACTTGCTGAAGGCTTTGTTTTAAAAAAAAAAAAAAAAAAAAAAAAAAGTACATTGCATCAGAGCCAGCAGCTGTGGCTTTCTGGTACTCTGCTGTTTGTTTTTATGCTGTGAGCTGTAGGCACAGCCCGCTGTCTGCTGCATGTAGGTGTGCACGTTTCATGTGCTTTGTTGCATCCCAAGTGATGTCTGAAGGTGCCCCATGGAAAACTCTCCATGTTCCAACACCATGCAATTTTTGTGTGCTGGACACGATGAGCAATTTGTGTCCCAAACTGCTCATCATGCTGCCATTGCACAGTGCTGTGAGCATCCAGGGACACAGAGAAAGTCCCATCCCCACTTGTTGGTGAGAGTTGGAAAACGCCAACAGTGCCAGAATGAAAAGAACCTTCGAGTTGTGAGATTCAATCTTTTCTATTTAGCACCTTATAAGATGAGTGGGAAAGCGGCAAAAACTAATTAGGTGCTAAAAGAAGAGCTACCCTGTAGGAGTGGAGTTATTAATAGAGTTCATTAGGAACAGGTTTGAGACTGGCACTTAAGTTGGCAGTGTGTTACTGGGATTTGCCAGTGACACAGCCTGGGGAGGTATTGCTGGTGCAGAGGAGGTTGGGTGTACAGAAGGAGAGAGATGACTGGGAGGACTGCAGTAATGAAAATAAGATGAATAATAATAATAATAATAAAAAAAGTACAAGCTTGTGCACTTTGGTACTTAGAAATGAAAAATTTCTGCCATAACTGGAAAATTACAGTGGTAGATGATGGAGGCAGAGAATGATTTGAATATTTGAGTTGATCATTGCATATATACCAGAATATCAGTGTGCAGCTATGCTAACTGGTGTATGCAGGGTGTTGTTTGCAATTCTGGTCACAATGGCTTGAAATGAATTTTGATCAGAACAGGTGTGGCTCCACGGCTCAAAGTTTGGGTCCACAGGTTTGACAAACTTTGTGGCCTCGCATCATTTTACTTCCACCAATAATTTTTTTTCCCAGCAATGCCAGTGGCGGAGGAGGAATCTGACCCACGGAGCCCTTCTAAAAGACACTCTGATAACTCGTGCTTTTTCACTTCAGCTGTGCTATTTGTTTGTGTGCTTGACATTTGTCCTATAGCTTTGTGCCACCTACTACAGCTCCTTCTGATTGAATCGCTGCTCCCATTATTATTTCTCTGTTCCTTGACTTTTATCCAGTGAACTGAAAATACTCTCATTCTTGTTTGCTATTGATCAGATAATCCAGAGGTCTGAGCCTGTCTGACAGAGCTGAGAGCGCAGTTTGCTGTTAGGAGACAAATACACACAAGGAGTAGTTTAAGGTTTTTTTTTTTAACCCTATTTAATATTTTTAATGTCAGTGGCACATTTGGATGGATTAGTGTTCACAGGAATTAGATTACAATGCATGGGGTCTTTGGGAGGGTTCTCTTCTGAACTCCTTTTCTTCCATTACTTTGAAGATCTTCACCTCTGCTCAGATTTATTTATTTATTTATTTATTCTCCTTCAGTTACAACAACAAAGCTTCTGGAAACTTCTCTTTGGCTCGGGGTACTTTGTAAGGACAGGCTCTTGGTTACATGGTGAGCTCCATCTGCGTGCCTGGAGGAGCATCGGGCTTGCAGGGGATGCATTGCAACCAAAGGCTGTGAAGTTCTGGAGGTGAGACTGGGTACGTTTGTGTGGAAGCCCAACCAGGATGGGAAGTGCTTGTTCCTGGCCAACCAGCTGCCTTCCCTGCCCAGCAGAGATCCTACAGGAGTTCTTTGCAGGGTTCTGAACACCCAAGTGCCCCTGGCCATGGGGAACATCCTGACCATGAGCCTGGACAGCAGTATTTCCTTTTCCTTACACTGTTAACACCACTCGTATCACTGCAAGGATTTGGAATTGTAAAACCAATTGCTTCCTACCATTTAGGTTCATTTTCACCTGTGATTTATAGGCCTGTGACAAGAAGACCCTTTTCTAATAAAGGGTTTTTCCAAATGAATTTTCATCAGTTTCATAGGTCACACTCCTCACTTCAGCTCTTTTGTCTGCCATTTGCTATGGCTGTTAAACAGCTTTAAAATTAAAGCGTGATTATTCAGAAATCACTTCATAAAACATGCTATGCTGTTTGCCACCGGTTTTTCCTTTATGCCTTGCACTAAGCAAGAGAAACTGCTGAGCTTGAGCTAGCAATGCAAAGTTCATTATGGATAATTGTTGATTAGATAGGAAAGTGAATTATAGAGAAGAGATCAGAGGCATCTAATTGTCCTCACTGTGGATGTGATGCTTTATGGATGGAGGGAGTGTGCAGCAGGCGGTGTTGTTGGTGGCACCGAGATTAGTTATAGATCTCTTCTAATGCCAGCTGACAAATAGGAGACAAATTGCAGAGTATTTAACAACCATTAAAAAGCATGTTGCTTTTGTCCAGCTTTTGGATGAGGGATGAATTAATGCAAAACTGTATTTTAAAAAGAAAAATGTACGGGTGATAATGTGTTGTGGCTGCTTTGCTGAGGAGGAAGATGGGGCTTTGATGTTCAGATCACTTAGCTATTAGTCCCTTATCTGAGTTCATTTCAGAATTATTGCTCTGATTATGGATACCATCTTCCCATCCCATGTAAAGCACAGAGCAGTGCCATTGCATACAACGTGATGTGTGTTCCAGCTTGTGGCAAAACGCATTTACAGACCTGATGGTTCTTCCAAAGCCATGAGAGGGGGAGGAATGACAGGTAATTGCAGCTGCAGTGTCCTTTTTTCTCTGAAGTAATCAAATGCTGTATGATATCACTAGCCTTAGCTACTGGTATTACTGCTATTGAGCTTCCTTTGGGCACAGCACCTTATGCACAGGATGCTATTACACCTACTGAGGGAAGTGAAATGATGAGGAAGCAGCGGGCTGGGAAGGAATTGAATTATTTGTGATAGGATGGCAGCTGAAGGAGGGGTCAGGGAGCAGTAATGAGCCAAAATGTTCAGGTAAGGAGGCAGAAAGTAACCTTATTTTCTGTGCCTTTATGTAACTGTGCCACCAACATCAGCCATTCAGCAAGTAATGGTTGGGGATACGGAGACCTGGAAAAGAGCCACATCCTCCTCCAGCAACCGGTGCCTGGAAGTGGGAAAGGGCCAATCCATGAAAGAGTGAACATGTCAATGACTACAGCTGTCTCTTAATGTGTGGGGACGTTATGGTTAACCCAGAAGACAGAATGTTCTGCGGAAGCTTGTGTGCAAGGTTAAACCTGTACATATTTCTCTCCTCCCAAAGCCTGCTTTTCCCAAGCCTCATTAACCATTTTGCTGAACATTACCATCATTACTCTTCTGCCAGGTTTTTCCACATTTTTCAACCTTTTAGGTACAGACCTTAGAATTATTGATCCAATGAATCATACTGACTTAGGTGCTGGCTGCTGCTGAAACATGCCAGCAGAGACCAGGATGTTGGCTAAACACCAAATGTATTTGTCGGAATGTTCTTTAGGTGAGGGAGTATTTTTCCACATAGAAGCAGCAGCAGCACTGGGAGCATCACCTCCTTGCAATTTCTATGGTACCACGTGAGCACTAAGGCATCTATTGGTAACGTTGCCAAGGTAAAAATAATAATAATAAAATACATCTGCTTTACTTCTTTCTTCAGTGAAAGCCCCTATGAAGACAGGCTCCCCTATGAAGACAGGCTGAGGGAGCTGGGCTTGTTCAGCCTGGAGAAAAGAAGGCTGCAGGGCGACCTCACTGCAGCCTTTCAATACCTAAAGGGAGCCTACGAACAGGAGGGGAATAAACTCTTTGACAGGGTAGATAACTGCAGGACAAGGGGAAATGGCTTGAAGTTGAGGGAGGGAAGATTTAGGTAGGATGTCAGGGAAGTTCTTTACAGAGAGAGCGGTGAGGTGCTGGAACAGCTGCCCAGAGAGGCTGTGGATGCCTCGTCCATCCCTGGAGGTGTTCAAGGCCAGGTTGGATGGGGCCCTGGGCAGCCTGGGCTGCTGTGAAATGTGGAGGTTGGTGGCCCTGCCTGTGGCAGGGGGTTGGAGATTCGTGATCCTTGAGGTCCCTTGCAACCTTGGCCATTCTGTGATTCAGTGCTAACTGTAGATGTGCTAGAAGCAAGTAAATGTTGGTCATGCCTTCTTTTTCATATGTTTTGGGAATGCCAGGAGAACTGAGCCATTTGTATGAGCTAGAGATTGACTGAGCTAGAGAAAAATCTGATTGAGCTGCCAGAGGGCGTGCTGTGTGCATCGCATCGGGGGCTTGGGATTTTTGTCTTGTAAACAGGATTATGGTACTTAAAGAATGAGCCTAGACTTTATCCAGCACACAATGATTGGTATAATTTGAAATCTAGAATAAATATGCAGCCAGATGTGGTGCTGTCTCAGTTGATGGTTATTGAGCATGGCCATTAAGAATAAGGATAAGGGCTTCGAGAAGCGACACAGTGAAATTAGTGATGTGATGAGCAGCAGTTGGAGTTATCTTGTTCCTGATATATGTCCTCTAATTACAGAGGTATTCATAAACTTTGATCTGCTTCTATAAGAGATATGACAACGCAATAACTATAAACTAAGTAATTACAGCTATTAAAGATTCCCAAGCATCTGCTAAGCCTGAGATGAGGCATAAGAATTAATTTTCTAAACTTGAAAAACTCTTCTCTGACGAGCTCATCTCAGGTTGGATCTGGATGTGTCCAGGGTAAAAACAGAGGAATTTGTCAGGGAAAGGCCTGAAAATAGAGGATGTACTTGTTAAACAGGGTGTAAAGAAAAGGCTGGAAGGATCCCCACTGTAGGGCAAGGTGTTGTTTTTATTGGCACTGCTGCCCACACCGTGCACGTGTCAGGTTGCCACAGGGAGCAAGGCAGGGTCGAGATGCTCTGAGCCTCAAACCAGTACCTGAACATCAGGTTTCTTTATGCTCTACCTCAAACACTTCATGTTTGGTTTTCTGCTCTATCCAATCTTCTTAAAGTGGTCAGACAGGGGTCTGCCTTCCACAGCACCTCTAGGGCTGCCCCAGGTAACATCAGAAAGACGCCTTCTTTTTATTAATTATTCTATGAACTACTGTGATCTTGGATAACAGCAAATAAACTAATTACAGTGTAAGTGTTTTTTCTTTTGTGTTTATAGAACAAAATGCATAATTCATGAGTTTAACAGCTCCCGGCACTGAACTGGGATTACAAAACTGAGGATAGATATCCAGCTTACTACAGAATATATATTAGCAAAGAATTTTGGCAGATCCAAGTTGCTTCCCATCAGTTTAAGAAAAAAAAAAAAAAAAGAGAGAGAGCTGTACATTCTATTTTATAGAAAAATATTTTCACAGAGTATTTGAAAGAATTTGCCAGTTCACTTCTCTGTTTTGTTTTTAAGAATAAAGAGATTGAAATATTTAATTGCTTTGAATGAAACTAACTTTTCTTTAGCAAACCAACCAGCAACAAAAAAGCGATGATGATTCTCTTGCAGCTTTCCAAAACAATTAGGCTGTAATGACTGCCAAAGAGATTTTCATGTCATTTCCAACACTGGTTGGAACAATTGGAAGCAACAAATTTTTCTCATTGCGACTTTATTATCTGAGAGGAAACGACTAATTTGGAGTTTGTTATTATTGTTTTATAGTCCGTGAAATATAAGTATATAAGTAAACATTTCCATGAATTTAAATATATAAAATACATAATGTGAATAGTTAACAAGTAAATAGTTTTTTTTAGCTGAGGCTGAGCCAGGGGAGGAGAGCATTTTTTCCTGTGTGAATTCTCCAGCGTGTAGTGAGGTCTAGATTTATCTCACAGCCTTTTTCATCACACAAGTGCTATCTTATCTATGCCCTTTTGCAGCCACTGTGGAGCTGCCCAGCTGCAGCTCTGCCCATCCCCAGGGCTGCCATCCCATCCTGACTCATCCATCTGCTCTGCTCCAAGTCATGGCAGCCACGTGCCAGGTGCCCCCCCAGCACTCCTACCTTTCCTGCATGGTTCGACTGTCCATCGCCTCTGTTTTCCCAGGCTATTTTGGACCTCATCCAGACCATCTGTGTTTTAAAGTGCCAACGCAACACAGGGAAGCCATGGAACTGTTGGAGCAGGTCTAGAGGAGGGCCAGAAAGATGCCCAGAGGGCTGGAGCACCTCTGCTGTGAGGAAAGGCTGAGAGCTGGGTTTTGCAGCCTGGGGAAGAGATGGTTCAGGGAGACCTCACTGTGGCCTTCCAGTACCTGGGGGGAGCTTATAAACAGGAGAGGGACTTCATACGTGGTCTGATAGTGACTGGATGTGGGGGCATGGCTAAAAACTAAAAGAGGAGCAATTCAGGTTAGATATTAAGAGGAAATTCACTTTCTGTCACCTCTGTGCCTGCCTCTCCAAGCCCCTTTATGCATTACGCTTCTGACAACAGCAATAAAAGTGGGATCCTGAACCCTTATTGCTAGGCACTACAGTAAACAATAAGGATTATGATCATTGCTACCAGTGTTTCTGATTTATTCCATTACAGTATCTGCTTATGGCACATGAGCATCATTGTATAGTAATGACACAGATAAATTTTGGGCCCTTATTTTTCATGACCACTCACTAGCTGTATATCATCAGTTTTCCTCTCGTTTAGATATGTGCTGCTTCTTTGGGAAAAGTAAAACGTATCCCAGTCGTCAAGGTAATAAAGCTGGTAAAGCAAATTCTGAAGCGTGTTTTACAGTGGAATTTGATTGTGTTAATTTTTCATGTGTTAAAAAAGAGCGGATGTTTGCTCACTCTGGGAAATACTTGTGGTACTTTTTGCGTTTTCTGACATCCATCACTTGTAGCAATGCAAAAGATTCCCTTTTTTGTGTGTGTGAAGAAATGGAAATATCCCAGCACTTCCCTGCCAAGCTCACTGTAGGACTGTATGATTTAGTGAGGCTTGAAGTTGTATAGCTGATGCCTAAAACAAAACTTTGGGCATTGTGAATCTGCATTTTGAATGTACTCCTGCCTGCAAGTGTGGTGAGAATACCCAAGGGAAGAAAAAGAGGGAATGACGTATATCCAGTTTGCACTGCGAAATCCCAGTGGGATGTCATGGTGCTCCAGGTGGAACAGTTCTCCCCATCCCCACCTCACCTCTCCTTTCTCAATCAGCACGTGTGAGTTTACCAGTTAAATGTTCTTCATTCTGTTTCTTTTGTTTTCTTAGCAAGGAAATTGAAGAAATATTCAGATAAGTCGGAAATGGTCCTGCTGCACATGCACAGCAATTACCCATGTGGGTCTTTGTGACATTGTTCTTCAGCTGCAGATCCTGGGAGATCGCCACAGTCACACACAATCAAACAAAAGGAGTCTAATGAAAGTATTTTAATCTGCTGATCAGCTATTTGGAGGGAAAGGCTGTGCTAGGTGTCTTCACAGTCTGGAAATGAACACAGCGATGGTAAGCGGAATATTAGTAATTATTTACAATTCTTAGCAAGCTATTGTGTGCATAACTATGTGGGAGGTCAATTTAGCTTCAGATTTCATTTCCTGCACTTTGAGCAGTTGGAGGAGCTCCAGGCCTGATCACACCTCTGGGTGCAAAGTGGGGGCTCAGCTTCGTAAGTTTGGGCTGGAAGGAGCTGCTGGAAAGCCACGTAGAGAAGGCAGTGTAGGCTCCTGCTCTGGAATCCTTCCTCACAGCATAAACTACAGTTGCAACACAGTGAAAAGAAGTGCATTCTGATGGGATTGTTTTGGGTAAGGTCTGTAATTGGGCAACTCTGAGTGGTATTCTGATGGGATGGGCATCAGTGAGGGTGAAACCTCCTTCAGGAGCTGTGAAGCTGATGGGGCATCCTCTCTTCCTCATTCACGCAGTGAGCATTGTGAGCAGGACACAGGAGCCTTGTTGCTGGGGGAACAGCTGTCCTCTGCAGGATCTTCAGTTCTGAGATGCTTCCAGCTGCAACAAACATCAGTAAACCAAGTTATATGAGGTAAGGGAAATTAGCCTTATCCAGGCACTCATAAGGAAAGAACAGGAAAAGTGTTCTGGGAATAAGACGAAGTCTACTATATAATTTGTATTTTGGTTCCTCGTTGTGTTTAGAATGACAAAACATGTATCGGTGCATTTATTTTCCTGCCTAAATGTTTTACCAAAAAATATACCAACTCTCCCAAATTCCCCCATGGCTGTAAATAGACCAGTGATGGAAAGAGTCTCTGGGTAAAGCTCTGCTCACCTGCCTGAGAACTGCCTGAAGCTGCTGAAAATTACAGTATTGAGCAAAACTTCTCTCTATAAAAAGCAGACCAACTAACAGTCCTATTACTGATACACCGTGACCACAAAGGAAATTCACATAATCGTATCAGTCTGGGTGGTGATCCTAGAGGAATGAGCAATAATTAGTCCTTTTGTGCTGTGATTTCCTACAGATGTCAAACTACAGCACACTGTGCAGAAAAGCAATTAAGAATACTTTTGTTAATAGCTTCTTATTTGTCTCATTTCTTTATCATGTTGCGCCTTTTTGTATTGCCAAAAAATGTTGGACTTTTCCATCAGCTGCCCAGGCAATATCACTTTACCCAGAGCTACATGCTGTACTCGTATAAAGAAAGATATTTTTCTTTTACTGAAATGAATCCATAAAAATATACTCTGGAATAAGTGGGGAAAAAAAAGAACACAAAATGCAATAAATTGTTCAGACTGAGAATAGGTTTTATTCACGCTTTGTCTATGTAATACCTGAAGTTCTTGTACTGCTGCTGTTGTTTGTAGTAAATTAGGTATCACCTCTTCTCAGACTCTTTTTACCATTATCCTCTCTGTTATCTATTCTTTTTCCCCTACTCATCATCTTCCTTCCTCTTCGTGAAATGTTATAAAAGAGAAAATTGCTAAGTTTGAGGATCAGACGAGAGGAAAATTATGTGCTTCCTATCAGTGTGCTCAGGTGCTGGCTGTGACCAGATCTGTTGTGGCTGAGGCAGATAAGTGTGGGGCCTGAATAATGCCTTCAGCCAGGTGAATGTTACTTGAGGAACAGTAGAATGGTGGAGTCATGGCATTCTCTGAGTTGAAAGCAGCCCACAGGGTCCTGGCTCTGCATAGGACTGCCTGGAAACTAACTGCATGTCTGAGAGCAAATTCTGCACCGGTCACTAGGAAGTGGTTCATGCATTAGGGTAAAATAAAGCTCTAGATTGCTCCAGATAGGAAAGAAAATTTCCAGGGGAAGACCCCTGAGAGCTGCAGGGAGATGTCCGTGCTCATTGGCTCCTGGAAAAATGAAGTCAACTGGAATATTCTGTGGAATAAGGAGGAGCCAGGTTTGGTTCATTTTCTTTTCAAAAGGAAATGGGGTTTTTCCTGTTCCATCAGTCCAGAGTGTCTGCAGCAGCTGCTGGTCACCCTGGGGAGAGGCAGGCTGGGGCCTCTCCCTCCTTCTGTCCAGCTGCCCAGACAGCTGAGGTCCAGGCAACAACTGATGCTGTCACAGATGTCATAGCGGTACGGCAGTTCAGGCACACCAGTAGGAGACACAGGGTTTGCCTTCTGCCATCACCAATCCCACAGCTTTGCAAATGAAAGCATCCTTTGCACATCCCTTGTTATCAGCCAGGAAACTGAGAAGGAATCCCCATATTAAAATGCTTTTGTAGTTGCATGGATCAACTCCTTAAAGCTGTGGGCGCCCGGCTTCGGTTTGGTTCTTAGCTCTCTTTGTGAGAGCAAGAGGTGATGCTGCCAGCCCTCTCTCAGCACATGCACGTGTGCTTGATGTCCAGGACACGAACAAAGACATCTAACTCTTTTCTTTTTAGAAAAACAATAAACGCAGTACGTGGGTTCCAATCTGAATCAAGTTGGTAGCAAAGTGATGAGGGATGCAGTCTGATGGAGCCGGAGGAGTCGTGTTGCAGCCCATCAGTGAGAGCTGCACAGCCAATGGTAGCAAACGGTCTTGCTGTTCTCTGAGCAAAGAACTCGCATAGCATTTCAAATACATTTGCTAAAATGCATATAATGATGATAGAGCTAGGGTGAGTTTCAGTCTGTGTTTTTTTCCCCCTGATAAAATAAATGAGGGTTATTTTTTCTGACCCTGCTGTGTGTTAGTGTAGCGTGAAAACTCTATTTATTGAAAAATAGGTCGCATAGTGAGTTTGAGGGCCTGAATTTATTCTGAAATAGCAAGAAATGCACCGTGCAGCTTTCCTACAGCATTTTAGACTTTAAGGGTTAAGAATGAATTATGTGTTTTTAATGGGATGTTAACCTGAGATAACATAACTTCATTGATGAGCCTTAGGATCTGCCTCTCATAGATCTCGTGCTTGTTAGCAATCTCTACTGTATCTTATTACAAGTGGAAGCAAAAACCAGACTCGTGTGTCCCCAGTGGAAATAGCCATCACGCTGTGGCATAATAATGTTTTTAGAGGCATTTGCAGCCTACAGTCTGTTTTGTAGGCAAAAGAGCCATGGATCTTAGTGTGGATCCACCAGACACTGTCTGTGTAGGGGATGCATCTTCGTTATGGACCCCAAAGCAACTCAGAAACTTCTCCTCAGGGGTTAATATATCAAACAGCTGATGTGTGGAAAGAAGCAATAACACTAGCGTATTAAGTATTGGTATTTCCTTCTTAAATTAAAAGAAAGTATCCAGCAAAGACTCCAAATGAGTCTCAGCTGCTATTACTCTTATTGCAGGGCCATTTCCATCTCCTCAGCCCAAGTGCTATCAGTGCCATCCGCAGCCCAGGTGCTCACAGGGCACAGCACTGACAGCAGCCTCTCTGCAGAGTGCTCACCTCCTCACACAGACAGTTTTATTCCCACTTTTGAGCCTTTTCAGAGGAGCTGCTTTGCTAAGTGTGAGTCCATTTTGGTGAGACTTGCACAGCACAGGGTGCAGTTATTAAGCCCTGCTGTTTGCTTGGGGAAAAAAAGCAAGCTAACTGGGCTGAGCGAGCAGCAGAGCCTCCCTCAAGCAGCAGCCCATGGAGCTGCCCTGTCCCAGGGCCAGCTGCACACTGTAGGGGACCCACTGCTGCCTGCCCCAGCACAGCCAGAGCCACTTTTTGTTTCATTTTTTTTTTTAATGTTTCTAATTGGAACTGGTTTTGGTTGATTTCCAAACAAATATTTTACAGCAGCAGGCACTAAGCCACTTTACTTCTGTTAATTGTAGGTGTTAGTACATCCCTGATCACATCCCTGTGGTCCTCAGCCACAGATAGCGGGATCAGCCAGACCAGAGGTCTTTCCCCCAACCCCAGCTGCTGCACATTCCTGTTCCATGACACACTGCTGCTTTGCACCACACAATGCCTCTACTTTGGTCCATGCCTTTGCCTGCTTAACTTCCGTACTGGGGAAAATGCAGATTTATTTATTTCCTTCCTGGGAGTATCCAAAGAACGAAGGTAAAGGAGATGCTATAAAAAGAAAAGAGTGAACAAAAAAATATGGAGATCTTTTTTTTTTTTTTTTGCTATTGAAACGAAGCATATTTCATTGCCTAATGGGATTTATCTTCTCAGATAACATGTTTTCTGCTGCAAAGCAACAGCCAGCCCATTTCCTGTAAGCTCCTTAAGGTACAAGTTTTCGAGAGCTGTCACAATATATTGTGTTGCTTGAGCTCGTTGCCAGCACGCATCGAGCTGCACGTGGGGAGCTGTGCATGCAGATTAGTCCCAGCCTTGTGCAATTTCAGCGGCTGTTCCTAAATCAAAGCAGGGAAAGTATCCGCATCTCAGTAAAAATAATGCAAGAAAGTCTTCCCATGAGCCACACTTATTGTTGCAGTGTCTGGGGGAAGAGAAGGAAGGAGCGTTGCTCAGTGGAGCAGGGTAGGAGCTCTGTTTATTGTTTGGAGAAGAGAAGGCTCTGGGGAGACCTCATGGTGGCCTTCCAAAATTTGAAAGGAGCGTATAACCAGGAGGGAGAATGGCTGTTTACAAGGGTGGATGGAGATAGGACAAGGGGGAATGGTTTTAAACTGAGACAGGGGAGGTGTAGCTTGGATGTGAGGGGGAAGTTTTTCACTCAGAGGGTGGTGAAGCACTGGCACAGGTTGCCCAAGGAGGCTGTGGATGCTCCATCCCTGCAGGCATTCAAGGCCAGGCTGGATGTGGCTCTGGGCAGCCTGGGCTGCTGGTTGGTGACCTGCACACAGCAGGGGGGCTGAAATTATGTGATAACCTCTGCCTTTCCCACTAAACTGAAGGTCTTTCACCTTCCCACGTAAACTTCCATTAACTGACACTGGACTTATAAATATGTGAGGAAGGGTTCAATGCTGCTTTGGTGGTAGGAAGAGACTGCAAGATGGGGATTTTCCTTCTCTTGCTGGTGAGGATGAATTCAGGTGGAAATGCTGTTTGTATTAACTAATTAAGCATAGAATCATAGAGTGATTTGAGTTTAAGGAGCCTTAAAGATCATCTGATTCCTGCTCTGCTGCCACAGGCTACACGACGGTGCCATCACAGCTGTTAGCTAACGCATGCTGCTGCAGCCCTCTTGGGTTTCCAGTCTGCATGTTCTCTCTGTGTCCTGTTCTCTCCCAAAGAGCAGCCACGTAACTTGGTTTGAGTGTGTTCACAGTTCTTAAACCTCCTTAAGGATTTGGGGGAAAGAAGAAGAAATCATTTTATGTAGATAAAGTACTCCAGATTTGTACGAGCCAATTGAGTGGATGACACAGGATATGTGATTCCTGGAAGGTTTAATTTCTACACCTCGTATTATGGCACTGTTACTTGAAATAAGCACAGCTTGGTCCAGAGGTGAAGGGAGGATGAGATGCTGCATGGGATAATGGTAAACTTCTGCTCCCTCCTAACAGGATTTTAAGCAATGCTCTTACCTCCACAACATTCACTGAGCCGTCACGTGTTTTCACGAGTTCACCACCCTCCCAAATGAATGGAAAGAAAAATAGAGAGTGCTGACTTCATTGCTTGCACCTTGGAAGTGACTTGACAGCCATTTAGAAAAATAGTTAGCATTCAGTGATCTCCAGTGCCTCCCTCCCCATAGAGCCCACGCCAGCAGCCCCATCCGTCTCCGTCCCCCCACTGCAGCACGCAGCCCTCACAGCCCCACCACTTTGATTCATGGGATCAATAACTCCGAGGCTCTGCCTAAAGGAATGGGAAATGCAGTGTGACCCAATGGATGAGTAATGGCTGTTGTGTGTGGAGAAATAACTGGGCTGCGTCTGTGTCAACAAGCAGAGCCTCCTGAGCACAACCAAATTACAAAGATCCTTTTATTCTGTTTCTTAAATCTTTGCTTTAATGCTGACCTTATTCTCAGTGCTCTCTGGTAAATATGCTCTGGTGCTACGTGAACAAATTTGGAAGTACGTTTAAGCTGTGACTTACTTAGATTTTATCCTGCCTCATTCAGAGAAGGGTTTATAATAATTGCTTCATTAACATGTTCTAAAGCCTTTCTCATTTTTTGACTCATGTTCCATGAAGCATCAGTCCAGGGCTATCTTTGTGGTTTTAAGGGTAGGAAAAACACACGGCAAGAAGTTCCTGTTGTTTTCCAAAGGCCTTGGCTTCCTTGGAAAGGATATTGGTTTGGGGGCTTTCCTACAGCCATGGCTTTCCTTGGGCACACCAGCACTGGTGCTGCAGACAGTGCCCAAGGCTCTGGGTGGCACTAAGGAACCTGAGCTGCAGTGTGTTCCTGAGGGCAGAAGGGATGCTCTGATGGTGTAAAGGAAAAGGTAGCAGGTATCATATCACAGTTCACCCCGTATTAAGAAAGAGCAAATACTGGCTTTGATTGTGACACATTTCTGCTTTATCCACCAAACCTACTGCTGGGTGAAGCTGGCGCTGGCTCCTCTTGACTCACACAGAGGGGTTTTTGGCACTTACTGCATTCACATGTGTGTATTCTTTGTGGCTACAAT